TACCAAAGTAAATTGTCAGGTTTTGGATCAAATCTGCTTTTTAGACAGCATTTTAAAACCAAAAATATGTCCTTCCATATAGTAAGCACTATAAAAGACTGACAACTCTGTTTATCTGAACTCAGCAGGTTGCATTAATGAGCAGGACTCTTTTCGTATTAGAATTCCCATCAAGGCATTCACTCCTTTCTTGCAAAATATGATTCAAATAATTGAGTACTCAATACTCAATTGTTATAACATTCTTTTTTTGGTTTTGTTTTGGTTTTTGTTTTTCTTTTTCTTTAAGAGAACTATCTGTTTAGTGGAGTTCTAAACCCAGAATCACCATAAAGAGCAACTTAGGAGACTTGGCCAGTCCTGTACTGGTAACACTGCCCATATACACTTGCAAGAACTATTACTTTTGTCAGCATACCAGTATGAGTTACTTAAAGAAAAGGAGACAACATCACCAAGTGGTTTTTTGCCAGTCTAAGTGCCCTTTTTAATAAGTAAGAATCATTCCTGTATATGGTACAGCTGACATGATGCAAAACCCCTCACTTCTAATGTAGGTCCATGTAATAATGTGAACTACACAAATCTCGCAGTGTCAGGAACAGCTCCAGATGGAAATAGGTCAGTGCATCTCCTGATGCAAGGCAGCAATGAAGACTGCTTTGTTGTATTGCAAAAGCAATTCCTGACTGTTTTATTTGAACAATGTCTGATGCAGACTTTAGAGAAACTGAATGAAGACTATTTTGATAAAAGATTCTCACACTATAGAGAACTTGGGGATTTGTTAGTGATAGAGGAATTTCATTTCACTCTGATAATGACCTAGTTTATTTAAAACTAGCATTGCCATCTACATCATATAATCTATTTGTCTAATTAAGGGTATAACATACAAGGTATTATGTCCTGAATACCAGGACACAATCTGATGATCTTTTTATTTTACCCTTATGGCAAAATTAATTATCAGACTATGCTGTGAGTTATTGACAGTACTGCTAATAATATACATCACACTAAATTTATTCCTAAAATTACTGCTATTCATGTGCAACTTTCTTTGGCTATCTGCTGAATCTTTGCATCTAATTTTACTGTAAACAGCATTTTTTGAGATAGCAAATTTAAACAGAAAGACATTATTTGCTTGAAATTAGTTTTGCCTTAATGAATAAGTTTCATAAATACTAGTGTTGTGCCTTATAATTTCTGCTGTGTGTGAGAATGCACATCAGGTTACTAGTTGCATTGCTGGCTGTGGACAGGCTACTGAAAATGAAATTACTTTTTTTTTTTAAGTAGATGATCTTTTTCGTCTTTCCTCCCATAGCCATCCAGTATTTTTTAATTTAAAAAATGCAAACAAGTCTGCTCCTCCCTTTTCCTCTTTTTCCCTCCACAAAAAAAAAAGAAAAGAAAAAGAAAAAAAAAAAAGAAAAAAGGCAAAAGCAACAGTAGAAGACATTTTCTGTATGTCATCTGCAGGGAATTTGTAGGTCGATTGATACACATTTTTATGGTGGCTGTTACAGGTATGGGGATGCTGGCAGGAGTGCAAGGGACAGTTTAGATGCTTCATCTCTTGAAAAGCCGTATCTACCTGACTTGGATGAGGAGGATAAAATTCAGGCCATGATCTGCTTAGGAACTTTGTATTTTTTTACCATTTCCTGGGGATCCTGAAAAAGATCTATGAAAACTAAGCCAGACTATAACTGTATTAGCTATACCAGATTCACTAGGACAAGAGTGTGGATATATGTTTAGCCTTGCAGAATTTTACCTTCCCTAAATGGTAATTCCAATCTCATTTTTTAAAAATAAACATTTCTTTCATCATTGACCATCCCCCATTGCAGAGGAAAATGTCAAGATATATATGCTAAATCTCAAAAATAATTACTTTTATTTATTTTAGTTTCTCTCTTCTTTTTTTAATACGTGAGGTTAGCAGTGCAGCACTCCAGCCACACTCCAGCCACCCTCAGCTGCTTCTTTACTCTTACTACATGAAATGAAACTTCCCAGGCAAATACTTAGGCATAATTTTGCTCTACACCCAAGTCCTCAGCCCTCAGCCATTCCACATGTTGTTCTGGGTATGAGGGTAGGAAACAAACAGGTTGGTCCAAAGGTTTTCTTATTCTGAAAGGGAGGCCCTTCCTGGTGTTTGACATGAACATCATTGTTATTCAGCCTAACTTCAGTGCCCGTTCAACAATTTACATATCCATGGGAAATGTGACATTTTGCTGCAACATGCTTCAGTGCATCTGTTGGCACCTAACCTACTGGCTAAAAGAAAGAAAACTACTGGATTGAATATAATATACTGTTTTCCCCTTAGGAAATACACAGCCTATGGTTCTGTAAATTTTTCCCTTTGTTATTTTCTTGATGTCATAAGCATTCTATCTCTTGAGACACTGCATAGGACAAGACTCTTTCACTAGCCTTTAAAAACAGGCAGATTGCCCAGGCTGTCTTGGTTACACTAAGGAACACAGGGGAGTAGCTGGAATTCTGTATTTCTCAAGTGGTCACAGCTGGGAAACAAACACCTGTAGGCTGCTCAAGCCAGCTGTTAGAAGAGACCTGTGGCTGCTGAAATAAACTGCAGAGCTCAGACACACCAACTGGCTGCCCTAGTAGTGGACTGAGCACGAAAGTTAGCACATATGCACTTTTCTTCCTCTAATGCTCTCTCCACCCTAACCACTCTACACAGAAACAATCTTCTTCATCTTAGATACTTTACAAAATAAGCCACCAAATGGTGACACTTACAAACAGGTTTTCATTTCCTTGAGGTTTTTTTTTTTGATGGAAAGGTATTTGCTGGTTTCCTTATCTTTTTCTTTCATATTTTCTTTTTCCCTCTCATTTCTGTTGCATCTAAGTGGTAGAACCTTTTCACTAGTCATAAATAGTATCAAATATTGTAAAGCAAAATAAGACAAAAAAGTGGTAAATCTGATACCAAAGCTAATTATTTTATTTCATTATATTAATTTCTATTCTCTTACAAGATTAAACATGTTACTGTGGATCTCAGGGTACAATTTTTTTGAAAATTATTAAAAAAATGTATTATTTGCCATAGGAACTGCATGATTTTTACTGTTGTAATAAAAGAAAAGGGATCCTGAAGTATACTCAGTGCACACTTATGGTAAGATGGGTGTAAAAGATGAAATAGTTTTCAACAACCAGCCCTTTGCTCAAAATTATAACCTAACTTGCAAAGTTGGGTTTAACTTTACAGCAAGTACTTAATTCTAAAATTTGCAGTTCTTCACTAGGAAAGTGCAACTGTCTGCAGAACAGAACAATAGTACTTCCATCTGTCCGAATATGAGGCACCGCCGTTCCCCTTCCCCCCCCCCCCCCCCTCACATTATGTCATAGACAGCCATTTGGGGAAATACCTAAAGAAAAAGATACAAAAACTGCAACTGCTCAGGAAGTGCCAGACCATGGTGACCCCCTCCATCCTTTCCCAGCAGTCCGCTCCTTTCCCCATTATGTACTTAACAACTACATTAACACCTACCATAAAGCATGATGTTGCTGTATGTATGTTTGGTCTTGCTGCTTTGTAAACTGCAAAATTGCAAACTGACTTGTTTATAATGGCAGTCCCATAAAGAATATGGCATTCAGAAACATAAACAAGCTATGAATCTTTGTATATGTTTTACTGCGTCCTTGGTTTGGGTTTTTAAGGAAAATCAATGAAAGTGACCTTGTTAGATGAATAAAGTAGAAAGTTAGTTAATTTTTTAAGTGTGTTACATCCTACTCTTAGGAGAGCCTGGTTTCATAGCGCAGTTACGACAGAAGATAGACTTAAAATTCCCAGTGTTGAAGAGAGTCGCCCTTTCAGTACCGTATTATATGGCTTCTGACTGGTCAAAGCTGGCATCACAATCCATTAGAGAAGGACACTATGCAAGTAGTGTGTCAAAAGAGGCTACAAAACAGCCTTTATGCAATCAGACTTAAACTAATACAGTATGGAATTTGTTTTAAATAAACTTATGCTTTATTTTAAAATTTTCAAAAATCAATGCATTAGAACATATGATTTAGAATTTTTAAATTTCTGCTATATTCTATAGTCATAAAATAATAATCTCTGGCAGTCACTAATAAGACTAAAGAAGATATTTGTTAGTCAATATGCATAACATAAAGTGCTGTAATAATTCTTTTTATGCTATATATGCTATTTTCCCCATTAAATGTGCACATTTTCTCTGCCTATTGTTGATCTGCTGCTAAACATTTCACAAAAGTTTGCTTCATCAAACAGCTAGTTTAACAAATGAAGGAGCACGGATTTTGACAAAGTATCTCAGCAGTGACATTAGTATAAACCTCTTAGTTTTGGGTTGTTTGGAGGGCTTTCTTTTGCTGTAGTCTCTTTCGTCTTATGCTCCATCAGTCCTCTGCAGAGCAGTTGTTTTTTCTTCCAACCACTGTCAAGTCTTTATTTCTTAAAATATATGTTCAGAAGTATATATGAAAAGTAAACTACCTTAAAAAAAGATATTACTGGCATATTTTCTCTCTCTAGAAACAATAACTTCTGTCACAATATCTTTATATGTTGAATCTTTTTTTACTACATTTCATACCATGTATCATTCATGTTCATTTAGTAGTAAGAAAAACTATCATCAAAGTGAAATCTATTTTAACTTAATTTTGGAACATAAAGTCTGAGTCTGATAGTTTTTCTTAGTACTAATGAACATGAATGATATGTGGTCATTTGCTTAGAAATTGGTCTCAAGAGGTAAAAAATGATTAGTGAACAGTAATGGTAAAGTGAGAAAAGACAGAAGACATATCTGAACGTAAATATCAATATATAAAATATTCTGGATAACTATGTATAAATACTGGTAGTTAATGTTACTGTTTTCAGCAACCAGTTTCAGCTATACAGTAGCTTGTACAGACTGTACCTGAATAGCGTATTATTAGGGTAATTAAAGTTTCATTTTCCCAGATAAGATCATCTCATGTACCTCTTTGGTTAACAAGACATATGCTTTCTTAGAATTATCTAGAAAATAAAGAGGATCAGTAATTGTAGATGGATTAAAACCTTCATCCACCAGTCGAAATTTTTGTTGTTTGAATGTTCCAGTCATTTCCATTTTTTCCTACAGAAGAGAAAAAGATTTATTATTTAATAGAAGAGCTTCTTTTCTTTTGCTTACATTCATGTTTGTTTTTGAAAATCATACTTGGTATGAAGTTAATACTGTTTATTCTCATTATGCTAGAAAACTAGAACTTTTGTGCTGCTATGGACCAACACCCAGAGACGTGGTGGAAAAAAGTTACAGCCCATTGCTTTCTGGATTGCTGTGCAGTGTCTCATCACGGTGTCTCATTTGGTGTAGCCCCAGCCAGCCCAAGACGATGTAGCTTCTTCATTTGTGGGCATTATAAAACTACGCATCATAAAGATTCTGAGCATAAAAACTCACATTATCAAGAACTTCTTACTGATAAAACTCAGGAAATTCTCTATGATTATTGTCACCTTAAATAAAAGGTGGAAAGAATCACATACTAAATCAGCCATACTCATACTCAGCCAGGTCCAAATAAAGGCAGATCTTTACCATACATTTTATAAAGTTTTCAAGCTTTTCAGTGTCACTGTGTCCCTTGGAAAAAGTAGTGGGAGGCATCTCTAGTGAGACTCTTTTCTCTATCTTCCTTACCTCTTCTCAGCCCTACTTCTCTATCCTCCCTACCTCTTCTCAGTCCCACTTTATAACCTCTCTCCATTATTTTCTCTTCTGTCCTTACATTTTTACATACATGCAATCTCAAAAAATGAAAAATTAAGTATTCTCTCCAACAACTCAGAGAGCTATTTTATCTACTCCAGGTCTACCTCCAGATCATATCTAACTGCTCTGATTGTTCTGACATCTCTTAAAGTATGATTACACGCCAGGTCAAGTTCAATAGGTTTTTAATTTTTTCCCTGGAAGTTCCACCCACTACCTTCTTTCTCAGTTAATGACAGCAGTATCAACAGCAATTCATCTGTACCGTAGGCATTTAAATTCTAATGGAAGTTCCAGATATTTGATATCAAGGCTACGTCCAAGATTCAGATTCCTTCTGCCCAGCATAAAGGCTTTTTTGTACATCTGTATAGCAATAAATCTGGACTAGGTTCTCATCATTTCATAAACCGACTACTGCAATAATTTCATTTATTGTGCACAATCCATGTCTCCTGCTTTACCTCTACTTCTCTCTTCTCTCATTTCCACTGAATAAAATGGATTTTAGATTATCTTCTCTAGATGCAATTGTTCACATTTTACTAATCTGAATCTTTTTGTTTTCCCATGTTCATGCTTCTAATCTCCCTAAATCCTTTTATCCTTACTCATTTGTACAATTCCTTTCATTTTAACATAATCTGCAAATTTTATTGACTTTTTGTGTAATTCCTTTCCCAGGACTCCATTAATGAGACAGCAAATAGGACCAGTTCTAAAACTAATCAAGTGATACATGAACAAGCACTTTCTGTTATTCATTTAGCCATCTCTTGTTCAAATGATGTAGATGTTTGTATGCACTGTGCAATAATGCAGCTTACCTGGACTCTTAAAAAAAGAGGACAAGCATAACTTGGTAGATAGGTCACTACTTGCTTGTACATTTGCTCCAAGTCTAATGATGTATTCTGCTTTAAAACAAGAGAGGAAAAAAAACTTCATGATCTAGGAGAAAGGAAGTGAGATGAGAATTTTGAAACATGAATAAAGTTGATATTTTGGTGATGAACCTAACAAAAAAAGGACTGTAGTGCATTTATAAACTGACAGTCATATATCATCTTCTGAGTTTCAGTAAAGCTGGAAGATTACATTCATATTTTATATGGTATTACATATATTTGGAGATCACTCAAGTGATCAATTAAGCAGTAAAGCTGCAAATGAGTTTCGCAGGTAAGAGTAAATGGAGTCCCATGGTCAATATTAATCAATAAATGTAGATACACATCAACACCATTCCTCTCCCAAAACCAAAAGTGCTGAGCCTCTCTCCCAGATTAGCCAACTAAGTCTTCTCTTCAGTTTTAGCCTTTCTCTCTTGCCAGTATCTTCTCCCAAAACTGTGATTCTGAAAGTTGTTAACAGAGAGAGAGACTAAAAGTTCTTACTGGTTTGTCTGGAAAGAGAGAGCACTGTGGGTCTATGGGAAAGACCAAAATCTAAGATGAAAAAGCAATGAACTTGAGCAATCAAAAATAATTGTACACTTTAACCATCAGCTAGTAATAACAACAGAGACATTCTGCCAACCTTGTCTTTTGTCTCCTTTCTATATTTTTTTTGTTAACACTACAAAATCTATAAGGAACTTGATTTGTTTAAGTGCAATTATCAAGACAGTCGCATAAACTGAGTAGCAATCTGCAGGTAAATGTTGTATAGGAAATGAGAAGCTCTCATTATTTTTTTAGTCTGGTTTTCAGTCAGTCTTCTTTATTGTGATCTTTCTTGTTCTGTCACTTTAAATTAGAGGTAAGTGACACATCTTTCACATTTTAAACTCTTTTATCATTTTGTGGTGGGTTCACCCTGGCCAGCAACCAAACATCTACCCAGCTTCTCGCTCCCTCCCTTCTCCCATGGGATGGTAAGGGAATAGAAGGAAAGCAAGAAGATTCATGTACCAAGATCATGGCAGTTTAATAGGGAAAGCAAAAGCTGCATACACAAACAAAGCAAAACCAGGACTTCATTCACTATTTCCCATCATCAGGCAGATGTCCAGATACTTCCTGCAGGGCAGGGCCTGACTTAGCACATGCAGTGGTTGCCTGGGAAGACACCGTAACAACAAATGGCTCACCCTCTTCCTTTCCCCAAGCTTGTACTACTGAGCATGGCATCATACGATATGGAATATCCCTTTGGTCAATTTGGGCCCACTGTCCCATCTACATCTGCTCCCAACTTCTTGCCTGCCCCCAGCATACTTGCTTCAGGGAGAAAGCCTTGATACTGTGCAATCTTTGTTCAGCAATAGCCAAGCATTGGTAAGTTGCAACAGTCTTTTAGCCACCAATGCAAAGCACAGCACCATATGGACTCCTATAAAGAAACTTAAAAGAAGTTAATGTATTTTCTTCCTTAATAATTTATTTTTCTCTTCATTTTCTTTTTCACTTTGTCCTTGGTTTGTAATATATGTTTACAGATGGTTTATGAAGCTATGTGAAAAGTGAAATAAGACAGAAGAATGTCTTCATACACTTTCCTTTAGAGTTACTTTAATTCTTACCTTGTTGGCATTTTATTTTGACACAGAGATGTGTGGATTTTCCACAGATATGAATGTAATAAATATTTAAACTTTAATTTAGATTATGCAGCTATCACAAATTAATGAAAGATAACTTTTCAAAAATACAGATCACTGCATACACATAAAAATGTATGCTTCACTGGCTCATTCACAATGTAGTGGTATTTTCCTTATCCACATCTATATTTTAGCTACTTTTTAAACAGATGACTCAATCAGAAGTGATTCATATGTTTAAAAAATGAAATAAAAGAGTTATGAGGATTAACAACTAACCTAGGGGAAGAAAAACATGCAGCTAAAGCTTTTACCTGGCACAGATACACCATACACATTTGCTTCTTGTATGAAGTCCAACATTACAATGACATCAGAAACTTCTGTAGTTGCAACATTCTCCCCTTTCCATCTAAAGCGTGAAAAAATAATTTAATCCCATGAAAACATATGGACACCTCCTCTTCAAAAAACACTAACTTTAGTAGGAACTCCATTCATATCAGACTAAGACCACCTCAAATTTGTTCCTACTTGTCACATTGGTATATTGCTTTGACAACCAGAAGATAATGTTTGTAATTCAAATGGTACTGGATATTAGTTATCATTATAAAGCACAATGAAAGCTTATCATAATCTGATGTAATGGTTTTAAAAATTTTGACATGTATTTAAATGTATCAAATGTGACCAGTCTTTACTATTTGATAAACTTTTCTCCAATATCCAACTTCCTTGCTTGCAGCAAAACCATCACTAGTTACTATGCTTATTGGAAGGACTGTTCAAAGAGCTGTAATTCCTACAAAACACTGTGGAAATGAGTTATCCAGCTCCATGGGAACACTTTTAAAAAAATTAAGCCCCTATCATCCACTTCAAGATCATTATAAAATACATTACAGTAGTAATAAACTGAACACTTCTGGTTGAAAACAAATAGAACAGTATTATTCTATTCTGCACGTCCATGTTTTTTAATGAAGAGATGTGAAAAGAAACATTGATTATACCTGAAGGTATCTCCAATCCTGTCCCAAAAATAAAGAAAATTCTCATGGTCTTGAACCATTAGATCTCCAGTATTAAAATAAAGATCTCCCTTCTTAAATACCTCACAGAGTAATTTCTTTTCTGTGTGTTTCTTATTGCCAGCGTAACCAAAGAAGGGGTTCTTCGCATTGACTTTGGAAATGAGAAGACCAGCCTCACCTACACAGAGAAGTTGAAAGAAGGTGTCATTGCACACATCCTGTACTTTACATTAATATTAATTTGGTACACAACATTTTACAAGACCAGGAACCAAATTTGGCAGGGTTCAGTACATAAGACCCAATAATAAAAACTTACATATTTTTACTGCTTTACAATTTCTGTGGTCACCTCTACATGCAAAGTGACCATAAAGACACAGTACAATATTGTCCACTCAAATTCCCAGTCCTTGTGTTTCTTTCTGATGACTCACCAGAACTGTCATCTATCAATTGTGAGTTCACTAGCAGGGTCACTATCCTTTCAAAGTGCACACTTCCAGTGACTATTATGTCCCACTCCCCACGCCTTACTGAATTTCCAGTGACAATTTCAACTTCATCAGCTTTCTACTGAAAACCTAGTCTTAATAAAAAGTTCAACCCAGGTATTAAATCCCTATTTAGTCTCCTTTCAGAAATTCTGAGAACACTTCTTAAGAATTTTCATTAACATGATATGGTCTCATTGCTTTCTTTTTGGAGTAAAATATAAAAGTTTTAATACAATTTTTTTTTCTCAAAAACACTGGGAGATGGGGATAGGATTATCCTGTTACGCATGTCGAGTATCAGGGTGTTAGTTTGCTGAAAATGGAATAGTTGTATGAACTCCTAACCTTTTTGGAAGCACATTTTGAACAATAAAGCTTAGGAGTTACATTACTTTGTATCAGAGACAAGAGTTATAAATATGAAAATATATAAAAGTAAAAATGTGTCCAAAGGTATGTATGATTTTTAATTTATGACTGCCTCCTCATAAAAGAGCTGTTCCTTTTTTCCATAAATTGATAGTGTTTAAGCTGAAAGCATTTAGGTCACTGGCAGTGTCACTGCAGCAATGATGCTCTGAAGATATAGAGCACGGGTAAGAAAAAGTCTACAGACAGAGGTAATACTTCTTATTAGACTGACTGGTATAGTTTGAAAAAAATTAGACCTCGTGTCTAATTAGAGCATGTGTTCCCTTCATGGGACCTCCATGGCCCTCCAGGTCAGTCTGACATCCCTACAGACAATTTCCTATAAAATTTTACATTTTAGGGACTGTATCTTCCTGAAAGTGCCCATCTTTGTTTAAGACCTGTTAGAGAATCTCTTAACTCCTTTGAAAAATCTGCTTCAGCTCCCTGTTAAAGCTGTCTGCCTGACCTTTTATACGAGTTTTTCTCACTTCAGCTTCCAGGCATTCATTACAGCTGTTACCTTCCTACAGTACAACAGAGATGCTTCAGTATCTGATAAAGACTTTGCAAATAGGTATAATCAAGAGATACCAGATATTTGATAAGTATTTTGAAGACAGCTATAATCAAGCAACCTATGGGTTTTTTTTTTAAAAAAAAAAAGATAAGCTTCATCAACTCACTTAGTCAGGAACATTTAATCTCTTACCAAAAAGCATCTGCTCTAATCCACCAGTGTTTCTTGTAGATCTCTTAGGCAACCATCTCACTATGTTAACCTCTTTTAAAAAACACAGGTGTCATCTACATATTCAGAGGTAATACCACATCATCACTTTTGAACATGTCTCTTCCATGAGTATATTCAAGGATCTCCTAAGTTCTTCTGGTGTCAGTACTGGTATGTTTAATAAAGTTCTGTCTTAGATCAAAAATCATATTGTTTTTGTCAGTGCAAAAAGCAATAGTTGATGTTGGCATAGTACAGTAACACAATAGCAAGGCTCCTTAAAAAAGTTCTCTGGAGTGTTTGTATTATAATCAAAACGCCATTATATCCTAAGATACATACTTACCTTTCTTAACTTTTTCACACCAACCGTGCTTATTTCTAATTGGTTCATCTTTTTGGAAATCATACTTGATTAAATCAAATGGGAAAAAAAGCTAAAAAAGGGAAAAATGGTCATCAGTTATTCATCTACACACTGACACCTGGTGGCAGCAAATATAAGCAAGGAAACCTTTACTCCAGTCTTGCTCATCTAAAAGTAGAATCTAGTTTCATTTAAACCTGAAAATACTCTGTATGTAAGCTTACACCATTTCCTGGAAGTAAGCAAGACTAAAACATTTTTATAAACTTTTGAAAATACTTGGTGAAGACATAGAACCATAATTTTGTTAATTTTCTTACAAATAAGTTATGGCATCCACATGTCAGTGGGAAAGCCTACATGAATCAGGATAACAGAAGCATATCTGGAATTTCACTGACATCTAACGGTGGTGACTGATATGAAAAGTGTTCTTGAGGTCTTCTGGCACCTAAAACAACTGGCAAAGCAAAGGCCTAAATCTCCTTACAAAGGGAAACCTGCTTCCTGTTGGGCTTTACTCCTGCTTAACTAGCCCGAGTTCTTCCCCCAAGCTTTCTCAGGCTGCTGTACGGTGGAAAGTCTTACCACGAGCACCAGCAGAAGGATACGTACTCCACTCCCATGTTGTCTGACATGGTTACGTAGCTGTGCATGTTCCACAGTTATGTCAGGGTTAGTTCTGCATTTTTCTGAAATACTGTGAACCCTTTAGTCCTGACACTGCTGACCTAACTGACCTCCTAGGTATGTTTTACAGCTAACCTTCCTCTTGTATAAAGACCACAGAGAACATGGCTCTGAGTAAGCTGAAGGAGACGGCAATATACTCTTATCAACACTAGAAATTGCAATACTTTTTTTCTCCAATATACAGGGTCTGACTAAAGAGTGAGGTCTGACTCTTACTTCACTCCAGTATACAGGGTTTGACTCTTAAATTAGACCTTTGAGAGACATTGACTGATATCATACACCTGATACTATATGGACCACTGTGTGTGCAGTTACTATCCTAAGGCTTCAGTCTGTCCCACTTGGGATTCTGATTTCCCTTTTCATAAAGAAGTGTATCAGCAATCTATTTAACAACTAGTCAATCAAGGATACACATTTATCTTCTCCCGAAGAAATCTTGGCAAGCAGAGAAAACAATTTAAAAAACATACGAATACACACCTGACTCTTCACAACAGAAATGCAATATAATTTAAGAATGCTGTTATGAAAGAGTCTGAAGGGCAGGATGCTAAAACATAAACCCCTTTGCTTTTCTGCAACTAATTTGGATGAAGAGTTGCATAATTATTTTATCCTAATGTGAAATGTTGATGTGCCTATATCAGATCACTTTGTTTTCACGGAAGTCCGAATAAACAGCAACTTGAATCAAACATCAAGCATACAATTTCAGCCTTTTACGGACAAACTTGTTTCACTGAGTCTTTTCAGTGTTCACCACTGTGTTTTCCTTCCACCCTAAGTCTGAAACAAAAAGATATTTTTAACAGTTGGTCAGACAAGGTCATAGCATGCGAAATCAAGTCATGATCCAAGAACTGGACACTTTTTGAATAAGGTGAAGGGTAAGTATAGCATTTAGCAAAGTCAGGTATTTGAGAGCCAAAAAGTTCACCTTAATTAGAAAATAATTGTATTATTCTTGATGAACAGAGTGGGAGGTATTCATAATAAACACATGTAATTTTTTCTTAGAGTCTTTTCTTTTGGCTGCCTACATTTAATTGCTGTTCTTTTTCAGTTTCTTTTTTACATTGGTATTTACTACTTTAATAGCTTTCATATGACAGATCAAAAGCAGGAATAATATAAATAATAAGAATGAAATTGTATAAAATGAAATGTTATTCTGATATTTTTGTGTTTGATTAGAACAGCAGTGTGCCCTGTTCAGTTCCTTCAGAGCTCAATAGCTGTATCTTGTCAACGTATTACTCTCTATGATGCATTAAGTTGTTATAAATACTCAGAAACATCATTACCTGAGATAATCTAAAAACAGTTGAGACTTTTACTGCTTATGTTGCTGCATACATCTTTTAGTGCCTGCAACTTTAGAGTATTAACTATGCCTATTCCAGTTAGCTTTTTGAAATAAATCATGCAAATACATAATTAAAAAGAGAAAACGCCACATATTGCATTAGCCATGCCATAATGAAACGATGCGAATATACATTCTGTGCAAACAGCTTCTCTCTGCAAACAGCTTTCTTTCCATATTAAATACTAGAAAATCAAAGCTCCACAGCAAAGCATTTAGTCTGGGTAGAGGCCTATATTTGTTGTATCTCATTATTTAAAATTTATTGGAAAAGAGGGCCTGAGTTGTTGAAGCACTACCATATGATTTTCACAGAGTACTGCATGCAGCATTCATCATTTTAATCTACATTTTACTCCCTGAAGCACCACATAAATGTACCAAACAAAAAGCATCATTTAGCTATCTGAAACGTAAATGAATTAAACTGCAACATTATTGTCTGTTACTATGCTGCCTGGATGTTATTTAATAACAGCATCCACCCCCTCCCTTCTTGTTTTTTAATTGACTGGAAATATGTGAGTTTAAATATTGTTTTGAAAATAGTTTCGAAATTCCTGAAGTTTCATCTTATAGTGAATATTCATAGAACCTTCATCAGAGAACAAAGATCACAAGCTATTGCTTTTTACTTAGTTACTAGTTTTAGAGATCAGATATTGTTGAATTCTCTAGGACAATATCTGCTTATAAAACACAGCATTACATTTACTAGATTTAGTTCCAAGCATCTTAAAAAAGTGAAATGTAAGGAAAAAGAAAACCTTCTGGAGCATAGTATCATATTTTATAAATGTTTTTAAAGTACACTTGTAATGCCTTATTTATGCTGTAAAGAGTAGATGTATAGGTCCTCTGCATAGTTTTGTTAGCCAAAGTAAACAAAACCAAGAGAAAAAACTTTTAAAGCTATGCTTGATATTAATTGAATTGCCACATATTATAATAAAATACGTCGGAATACACTTGAAGTACCGTAGATTATTTTAGCTCAAACTAGTCAAAAGCGCAGAAACAACACTAATTTTCATTGGCCAATGAATTTAAGAGCTTCCATTGCTTGGATTAACACATGTCAATGTTCTTCCTGTGAATCCAGTTTTCCACGATCTTAAGATTTGCTTAAACCTAACTTTGTTTACTTTTAAAAAGTATCTCTTCTGCCACTTAAGTTCTATGACTGTATGAAAAATGTGCATAATACTAATTCTGTGTTGCTGTATGAAAGAAAATATTTTATATGTTGAAATTATTTATGATTTGTTATAATATTTAAATGTTTCTCAGCTCAAAGCTGATTTTGATCCATAGGATTCTGAGTAAGAAAGATTTAGATTCCTGTAATAGTTGGAATACTTACACTTAAAATAATGAAAAAATACCTTTATAAATAAAGTCTGGAATTTTTTTTTTTACATGCTGTTTTTTCAGGTGTACTTGCTGTGGGTTATTTTTAGCCCTTCCTGCAAGCTTCCTTGGATCTCATTAGTCCCACTCTCCCATTACATGTTCTCTGCCATCACGCAGAATTTATTTCAGTGAAAGAAAGAGATCTATATATATATTTGATAGACATGACTGAGAGTCTTACAGATTTTTCCCATATCACATTTATATAAATACACAGATAATGTATGTCATATATAATGAAATTAATCATTAACTACATACATATGTATGCCAGATGTAAATATTAAATAGTAATTTATTATATTATTATGCTAATCTATACACTATCTTCTTTATAAAACATTTTAAGTTTTACCAGCTAAAAAGCTATTCAGAGACTTCTACTTTTCTGTTCATTGACTGTATATGATCATCATTATTGAAGGTTTTATTCATATACCACAGTGATGCTTTCAGGCACATGAACCAATCCCTCTTACATAAAGAGTATAGTGCGAAAATAAACCAGCCAAACCAGAGCACTGCTTCAAGTTAACATCTCACACACAGTGGCTTCTTGGATGTCTGGCAAATGCCATAAGATTCATCTGTTTCTTCCTATAAACTTGTGTCTTCCAAATTATTTATGAAAACAAGTATGTTATGTAGATCCTTAATATTTATCACAACTATTTGTCCCCAATCATTGGCAGTTACTGACAGGAAAAGTTACTTTGATCATTCTGAGCGCTTAATTTGTCTTTTACAGCTGTAACTTTTGTCTGCATTTCACCTTTAGAAACTGTGCCATTGCCAATGCCTACAACAGAAATGCCTTCCTATTTCTTTTCCTTTTTCCCTGCTAAAAATATTATACCTTGAACCTACCTGCTATTATTCCCGCTATACTCTGAATATCTGTATGTCTGGGGTTTTATACTGCATTTACTTCATTCTGGCTGTGCAACTGTGCCAGCAGAGAGCAAGTTTCTTCCTTCTCCTTTACTGTATCACATATATGAACACACCAGCCTCTTTTCCCCTTTCTCAGTTCTCTTTCTTTCTGTTCCCAGTTTAAGAAATAGATGTTCAGGAAATTCCTAAAGAGTATGTCTAAGCATATCTCCTCATATCGTCCCATGTGCCAAGATAGTAATACTTCAAAAGTTGTTGTAGCATTTCTTTGAAGAAACAAAAAAAAAAAATAGGAATTAGATGGCTGGGCCTTGTCTATGCCATTCTCTGCTTTCCAGTAGGACACAGTCTCCCTTTCCACCTTCAGATCATTCATGGGTCAGTAAATCAGAAATAAAGCTGATCTCCTTTACACACTGCTAGATGTCCAGCAGATGTCATTCAGATCGAAGTAAAACAAACACAACAGCTGCACTTCAGAATGTATTATTTAATAATCTGTAACCTGTAAAATGTATTAAAAAAAACAAAACACAACAAATGCCTGAAATAAGTCACAATTAACTTATTTATGGTATTAAAATACATAGTTTGTGTCACAATACTCACAGATTGTGGAGTAACCAAAAATACATATAAAAGGTCCCCAAACTTACTATTTGTTTTAATCTGTACTTTTTTAAAAAACAGAAAATCACTAAAAAGTATGTCTTATGATATTTTCAACATTCCTCCTCTCTCTTAACCTCTTCTAGACTTTTCTGAAACTGCACTGTATCTAAGCCCCTGTTCACGTCAACACTACTCTGCTTCAGCATCGGAGGGAGCTAGCTCCTCCTGCAAACAAGTGTGATGCAGCAAACTAAAGGAACTGCCATCCAGAGGAATCGCAGCGGTGATAGAAGCGGAGTTGCTAACTCTGCAGAATTGTTAATTTGAGACATGTAACTATCGTCGTATTAGTAATATGCCATGTGGTTTCACTGACAAAAATTCTTTCAGAGACACCGTGTATGTCACACAACCATAAACGCTCTGGATCAAAACATATTACTTATGAAAAAGCTTCTGCTGATGGAGCTTTGGAGTGGTCTCTGAAACCTCCCTGTTTTGGAAGACATTTGGGGCAGTTCTGTTTCCACATAAAATGGGTCATGTAATCTACCCACTGACCTGGCTAGACATACCATGCCCATGTAACCAAGGTGAGGTAATTTGGACTGAATCTGGTTTTCAGTGACAACCTTCATTCTTCTCTCAAACCCTACAGTCATAGAATGCCAAATATATATACATTGGGGAAACGGTTGGGAGCCAATACATCTCCCTTGGAGAATGGTAGGAGCTAAATATTGAGCCTGCTCACAAATAATGTGCTTTAGCAACTTTCTTTATGACAGAAACTATGGAAGCAACTGAAGATTTACTGTAGATTTATTTCTAGAGCAAAGAGAGTATTGAAAAAGATAGAATAAAATTGATTTCAAGTCAAGCCAAAAGGAATGAATGGCTTTTTTGGTTCATAAAATATCTTATGGTCTTTCCATATTCATACTGAGTAAGCAAGGGGACAATCCATAATTATGTTAGCAGACTATACTGCTGTTTCCATAGACTACAACAGTTCCAATTTGGAATAGTATATAAATTATAGAAAAGATGTCTAGTGACATCAAATATTCAGTTACAACTGGTTTTATTTTTTAATTGCAGTTTGCATGAGCTATTTTTTCTCCTAATCTGCAGTGACTAACTCAAATCGTAAGTCCACTCATTACAGAGGAAAAAGTAGCATGTTCCATGTGCAAAAACCCCCAAAATATTAATCTTCTTTTTGGAAACACAAACAGCGTATGTTATTGATGTATGAAGTGCCACTATTAATACATGCAAAACTCCCACGCTACTTGATTAAAAATACAGATAATTAAATCAATAAATAGGTAATTTCAAGTCTAATCCTTTATCTGCTGTAACCTTTACATGGTATTTCCAAAAGGTTAATGACTGATGACAAAACTCTCTCAAAAGTTCTGAAATACTGAAAACAATTTTATTCAGGTTTGGAATATATGTAAAATTTCGTAAGATTAAAAAAAAATTTATAATAATTAAAGCATGTGGCTTAGAAAAGTCTGAAAAAAAATTAACATCAGCTATAAGGTTCCTGGTTCACCTACTACTCCTTAAATTCCAGATTCCTGATTTCCTGTAGGGGACCTGTACCGTTCTAGAGACATCCATCAGCACCAGATGTCCATCATGCATACTACAGAGCATCAGTCATGTAGAACAGAGAATCAGCAGAGTCAGTCTGCTTAAATTTCTGAGCTCTCAACAGTTTCTGAAAAACACACTAGCTCTTGCAGTGTTTTTCTGAGTGTTTCCAGGTTCCTCCCTGCAGTCTCCGTTCCTATCCCAGAAATGAAGAATTCCTCTTGCCCTGAGCTGTAAAGTAGTCTGCAGTGATCATAATGTGGTGATGCTGTATTGAAGTTGCAGACTCTGGAACATATGCTTCCTAGAAACCTATTTGAACGTCATCAGAAGATACCTCTGATGTATTTCCAAAAATATTTTTACATCATTCTCTGAAAAAAAGTTTTGTCAGGACATTTTACTATCAGTTCTCCTCAAGAGCCCAAACGCCACTTAAGTCAGCAGGATTTGTATATATAGATAGGCATCTTGGCTTATTTTCAGTTCTAGGCAATGCGTATAGTCCTACTTATTTCAAGAAGAATAAAAATTGGCATAAGTAACAACATCATGTTAAATACCAAGTTTCCTTGCTAGAAAGTCTTGCTAAATAACCTTTCATACTATTAGCCAAACCTTGGGACGTGTATTACCTACTGAGTCCTCAAACCATTTAAGAGATGGTATTAATAGGACACAAAGGGAAAAATCTATCTGTGAATTTCATGCTGAAATTAGTTCTTCTTCTTTTACTCAGAAGGATGAAGGAAACACCACCATGTGTGATACAAATAATACTTATTCCTCTTCCCCAAGACATATAACTTCCATTGTCAAAGCTGATGAAATACAAAACAAAGACTACTGAACAAGCAGTGAAATAAAAATATGTTTTTTCTAGTTTTAGTAAATTAGAACAAACCAAATAAATATAGCAGACTTGGTAGATAGAGGGGCAAGGAATTTTTACATTAATACCCTTGGCAAGGGTATTAATTGTCACAATTACTCCACAGTGGTAATATTTGTATTGTGTTATCTTTGAAATTTCTGAATAATGATACAGACTAGACGTAGACTAGTTTAATTGAGTTACTTATGTTTAACTGCACCTAGGTATAAGGTATGTCTTAAAGTTATATCTGCCTATATGTTACTTTATTTTAATTACTATTAATTTCCATTTATGCCAAATATTTACATAGTAATATGCAATATAAATAAACTCTTTGAAAACAGCTCTAAATTAGAACACTAAGTCAGAACAGGTCCCACATATGTTTATTTCACAAATGATGAGGTCTTAGGTATTAAAACAAAACTTCCTCTTTTGTAATTTAATATAGTAGAGATTTGAAATGATACTTGGTACCTACTCAAAACTGTCAGAAAATAAGTAAGGCCTTTTTGACTTTTGTGAACTTTAAGAAAAATCAAAGTGTTAATGCTGAAAGTATAACTTGGTTAGGTGCTAGGCACTATCTGCAATACTTTGGCAGCAAAGACTTTACAGAGGTCAATTAAACTTGCAGTAACTAAGTTAGAAAATTTACCTTGGACTTATGACTGCAGCCCCATGTCCTGTGGTCAAACCGAGAAACACATTTACCTTCAGGACTCCCTTTTACAAAGTACAAAATAAATAAGTAGTCACCTTATAAAAGAAATTGGTGCGTCCAACAGATCCGATTTTTCCTGTGTGGTTCATGAAACAGATGTTTCCTTCAGTAGCACCATAAAACTCACAGATCTTAACAGCACCAAATCTGTCTAAAAATTCCCTCCATACATCATTTCTTACTCCATTTCCAACTGCTAGTCGGACTTTGTGATTTTTTTCTCCTTCTTTCTGTTAAAAAAAATAAAAATTAATACACTGAGAACTGCATTTGATCATTGCATATATTGTTGGGAAAATGTACCTTATTTAAATACATCAAATATAAAAACGAACAAAAAAAACCCCCAAACCCAAATAAGATAAAGAAATCTGGCATAGCTCACCTACAGCTACAATGTAGCAAACTGCAATCAAAAAACCTATTATCTTGTTGAACAAGCAGATATTTCCTCAATAATGGCTACATTAAGTTATATAAATGCTTCCATATTTTAGAAGTTGTATCATCTCAGTCTGTTTCCACTCAGAGGAATTAGAAAACTGGGAAGAACAGACAAAGGCAGGAATGATTTCTGTCAAGGGATTAAAGTCAACTGAGATTAATAGCTACTTTCTTGTGTCTTATAAGAAACAATGAGATTTCACACACTTGTAATATCTGCTCCTTCCCACACATCGCATGGGAGTCATCTTCTGTGTTTCTTTCTATATTAAGACTTGCAAGGTTTTGTTCAATGTTACTTGGAAAACATTATTTTTGGTGATCTCGAGCCTTTACTGTTGTCAATTCCCATCTTTTATTACAGAAAACACAATAGTATGTGTTCATTCAGTTCCATGAGACTCTAATTTATGAATACATTCCCAAACCTTGCAATTGCATAGAGCACCTTTAAAATACAACCAGATTTAAGTGGAAGTATCAGAAGGCAAAAGATCTAAAATGTTGATTTAATTATTTATTTTTTTTTAATTTCACCTATTTTAAAATAATATTCTCTTTTTAATCATTGGTAGTGTCAATACAGAATGCCATGGAAGTGAGACAGCACAAAGTAAGTATCAGTACAATTTGTTGCAACATATCTTTAGAACTGCATAGTGCACTGGTACTGCAACACTGTCTGTATATACCTCTATATATGTACACTTAGACATATGTATTCAAACACCTCTCTATCTACATATGCACATAGACGCACATATTTACACTCTTTATATATAAATATATTTGTGTATGTGTATATATATATATACACACATGTCCACATACATATACTACAGAAAGCAGATAGTCCATATTTTCTGTTCTTCTATTCTAGTTTCTTTTTCCCCTCCCAACTGTAATCCAGTATGAATTAGGTGTGTATACAGTGAAAATCCATTTTAGCACCTTTAATCCTGTATAAAAGCACAGCAAATTATTTCTGCAAACAGATCTGGTCAGCTGACTGAAACAGGAATCTTTATATATTTTGGATGTTAAAAACAGCGAAGCTTCTACTGAGTACATAGACAGGAGTGTTCCTCAGAGGCTTGTATCTTGGCCAAATTCAATCTTTCATGGGGATCATGAATTCTAACTTCTGTAACAAAAACTGAAAGCACAGTGAAATTTTCAGTTCCTCCTCTAAATCACAAAGACTGACCAAGTTTTTTTCTTCCTTCTTCAAAATCAGTAACTCACAGAAAAATAAAAAATTCCTGTATTGAGCTTCAGAGTTTTTCTTCTGGAATTAAGTTCTCTTGCTGGAATGATTCAGCAAGGAACTCATTGACTTCATGAGATGCAGATAGCTCTTAGCAGATTACAATCTGGGGCATTATCTTGCCTATTTTACCTCAAAACTACTACCAGCCTCCCCTGGTCACTAACCATTCTGTTTTTACAATGACCCAATTCTTCCCTTTTCCCTTCTCTTCTCCTACTTTACTTCAGATGCAAAAGTAATTTCTAAGCACACAAGTAGATACTTCACCGACATCATGCTAAATCACTATTAACAAGTGCTGCATTATGTAGTACAATGAAACCGACCACGGACATAGCCTGGAACAAAGTGTCTAAAAATTGCCCATAGATATAATTTTGGGAGTGGCTTGTTTTTCCAACTTCAGATGCAGTATCACAATGCAACAGTGTAGAATTTCATATATCTGAAATAACAAGGTCTGTTATATTACACATTGAAAGTCATTATACTGTCAATGAACAGCAAAAGCATTAATTTTTTTTAAGAGAAAGTGTTTCAGTGCTATTTTGAACTTTGTCAGGAAAGTTTTTAACTGTTTTTTCCCCCCCTGAAAATTGTCCATCATCTTTAGAATATTCCAGTGAGGTCAACTTTAAACTTTTCAAAGTGGGTTATTTTCCATACAATTTCATTGCTAAAATGAAATAAATGTGTCAGTAACTGAACTGCAGTTACCCCTTGCTGATGCCACTCAGTTATTCAAATGTACTGCCTCTGCTAAGATACGAAAAATAGCACAAGAGATTCTTTCACAGAAATCCTTTGTTCCACAATGAACAGAGGAGACAAATATGTGTGTATATATACACACACTAATTAGGTGGGTCATTCATCAGGCTAGGAACATTCAAGATCTCTAGACCAAGTTAATAAGCAGGTGACTTTGCTTCTATTATTTAAGAAAAATAAAAGCTGAAAAGACACAAACTAGGATGAACTAGAGGACGGGAAGGCTCTACAGAGGGATCT